ACGAGACACAAAAACAACAAGAAAAGAAAACAAAAGGAACTGAAGGAGACGAAAACAACAAGAAATTAAAACAAAAGGAACAGATTATACACGAAAACAACAGGAAAAGAAAACAAATGGAACTGAGGAGACACGAAGAGAAAAAAGGGAAAGACACAAAAACAACATCAGAAATGAGTATACACATAAACAAACAAGAAAGAAAACAAACAAGAAAGAAAACTAAAGGAACTGAGTATACACAAAAACAACATCAGAACCGAGAATACATCAAAACAAAAACAGAACTGAGTATACACATAAACAACATCAGAACTCAGTATACACATAAACAAGATCAGAACTGAGTGTACACATAAATAACATCAGAACTGAGTATACACAAAACCAACATCAGAACTGAGTATACACCTAAACAACATCAGAACTGAGTATAGACAAAAACAACATCAGAACTGAGCATATACATAAACAACATCAGAACTGAGCATATACATAAACAACATCAGAACTGAGCATATACATAAACAACATCAGAACTGAGGATACACATAAACAACATCAGAACCGAGTATACACAAAAACAACATCAGAACTCAGAATACACAAAAACAACATCAGAACCGAGAATACATCAAAACAAAAACAGAACTGAGTCTACACATAAACAACATCAGAACTTAGTATACACTCAGAACTGTGTATTCACATAAACAACATCAGAACTGAGGATACACATAAACAACATCAGAACCCAGTATACACATAAACAAGATCAGAACTGAGTGTACACATAAATAACATCAGAACTGAGTATACACAAGAACAACATCAGAACTGAATATACACATAAACAACATCATAAACAACATCAGAACTGAGTATAGACAAAAACAACATCAGAACTGAGTATAGACAAAAACAACATCAGAACTGAGTATAGACAAAAACAACATCAGAACTGAGTATAGACAAAAACAACATCAGAACCGATTATACACAAAAACAAAAACATAACTGAGTATTCACAAAAACAACATCAGAACTGAATATACACATAAACAACATCATAAACAACATCAGAACTGAGTATAGACAAAAACAACATCAGAACTGAGTATTCACATAAACAACATCAGAACTCAGGATACACAAAAACAACATCAGAACCCAGTATACACATAAACAAGATCAGAACTGAGTGTACACATAAATAACATCAGAACTGAGTATACACATAAACAACATAGAACTGAGTATACACATAAACACCATCAGAACTGAGTATACACATAAGCAACATCAGAACTGAGTATACACTCTGAGTATACACATAAACAACATAGAACTGAGTATACACATAAACACCATCAGAACTGAGTATACACATAAATAACATCAGAACTGAGTATACACAAGAACAACATCAGAACTGAATATACACATAAACAACATCATAAACAACATCAGAACTGAGTAAACACAAAAACAACATCAGAACTGAGTATAGACAAAAACAACATCAGAACTGAGCATATACATAAACAACATCAGAACTGAGGATACACATAAACAACATCAGAACCCAGTATACACATAAACAAGATCAGAACTGAGTGTACACATAAATAACATCAGAACTGAGTATTCACAAAAACAACATCAGAACTGAGTATAGACAAAAACAACATCAGAACCGATTATACACAAAAACAAAAACATAACTGAGTATTCACAAAAACAACATCAGAACTGAGTATTCACAAAAACAACATCAGAACTGAGTATAGACAAAAACAACATCAGAACCGATTATACACAAAAACAAAAACATAACTGAGTATTCACAAAAACAACATCAGAACTGAGCATACACATAAACAACATCAGAACCCAGTATACACATAAACAAGATCAGAACTGAGTATACACATAAGCAACATCAGAACTGAGTATACACAAAACCAACATCAGAACTGAGTATACACCTAAACAACATCAGAACTGAGTATAGACATAAACAACATCAGAACTCAGGATACACAAAAACAACATCAGAACCAAGCATACACATAAACAACATCAGAACTTAGTATACACTCAGAACTGTGTATTCACATAAACAACATCAGAACTGAGCATACACAAAAACAACATCAGAACTAAAGGTACACATAAACAACATCAGAACTGAGTATAGACAAAAACAACATCAGAACTGAGTATAGACATAAACAACATCAGAACTCAGTATACACATAAACAAGATCAGAACTGAGTATACACATAAATAACATCAGAACTGTGTATTCACATAAACAACATCAGATCTGAGTATACACATAAACAACATCAGAACTGAGTATACACAAAAACAACATCAGAACTCAGTATACACATAAACAACATCAGAACTGAGTATTCACAAAAACAACATCAGAACTGAGCATACACATAAACAACATCAGAATTTAGCATACACATAAACAACATTAGAACTGAGTATTCACAAAAACAACATCAGAACTGAGCATACACATAAACAACATCAGAACTTAGCATACACATAAACAACATTAGAACTGAGTATTCACAAAAACAACATCAGAACCGAGTATACACAAAAACAAAAACAGAACTGAGTATACACATAAACAACATCAGGATTGAGTATACACAAAAACAACATCAGAACTGAATATACACATAAATAACATCAGAACTGAGTATACACATAAACAACATCAGGATTGAGTATACACAAAAACAACATCAGAACTGAATATACACATAAACAACATCAGAACTGAGTATTCACAAAAACAACATCAGAACTGAGCATACACATAAACAACATCAGAACTTAGCATACACATAAACAACATTAGAACTGAGTATTCACAAAAACAACATCAGAACTGAGCATACACATAAACAACATCAGAACTGAGTATACCCAAAAACAACATCAAAACCGAGTATACCCAAAAACAACATCAGAACCGAGTATACACAAAAACAAAAACAGAACTGAGTATACACATAAACAACATCAGAACCGAGTATACATATAAACAACATCAGAACTGAATATACACATAAACAACATCAGAACTGAGTATACACATAAACAACTTCAGAACTGAGTATACACAAAAACAACATCAGAACTGAGTATACACATAAATAACATCAGAACTGAGTATTCACATAAACAACATCAGATCTGAGTATTCACAAAAACAACATCAGAACTGAGCATACACATAAACAACATCAGAACTTAGCATACACATAAACAACATTAGAACTGAGTATTCACAAAAACAACATCAGAACTGAGTATACACAATAACAACATCAGAACTGAGTATTCACATAAACAACATCAGAACTGAGTATTCACAAAAACAACATCAGAACTGAGTATACACATAAACAAACAAGAAAGAAAACAACAGGAAAAACAAAAGGACCGCAACAGGAACTGAGGAGAGACCGAAACAAAAGGAAAAACAACAACGGGAACTGAGGAATCATCACAGCAAAAACGCTACGCGAGGTGTAAATCTTGTTTTGTTTCCGAATACAATTCTTGATAAATGATATTTATATTTTTTATTTCAAAAGTATCAAGTACATTTTTATTTCTATGTTGATTAATCATAATTTATATTTTTAACCTTTTGGAAAATTACGAACTGTTCAGTCAGCACAAGTGAGGGGAGACAACTCTGTCGTTCTTATATGATACCGAGTACATTTTGAGCCGGTGATCATCAAACATCAACACATAGTTTTGCCTTTTCCGCAAAACAGAAATATCAATTGACAACAGCAACTCCTTTTTCACATTTTATAATTTCATAACATTGAGAAATTCCTACAGTAATGAACATAATTATGTCGTTCAATTAAACCCCGTTTTTGTAAGTTATATCATGCTAAATAAAACAATACCGAGTAACACTGAACAGAGACGTATCCCTGCACTAAAAGGACATTGAGTTAATTGTTTCTGTAGTTACTTCCGAAACTCATTAACGCAGGCAATCATTTTTAAAAGTTTCAATTTTACAAAATCTACAATTATTAAAGAAGAATAGACCGAAACGATATCAATTTCTAAAAACTAATTCCATATAAAATATTTCCAAAAAGTAAATCGTACTTCAACAAAAAGGAATTGTTGAGTTGATAAAATCAAAGACTTCTTATTCAAGAGAAATATGACATGGCCGTCTTTAAAATGTGAAAGTCTACTAAATGCAATTCGTGGTAGAGATGATAATGGAAATTAATTTCCCCACAGCAGAGACAATGCCATGTGTAGTATATACGTCTCAGCCCACAGCTAGCAATAGCTGCTATCAAAGACGTCTGTACGTTTCTATATAAGTATAAAACCAATACTATACTTAACATAATACTATCATACAGCATAGGTCTTTGATATACTTCAACGAAATATTAACCCCTCTTCATCCGTGTCGGAATGTTTTCATTTGACTGTAAAATCCAAGACATATATTTATTTCACGTGATGAAACGGTTTTAAGCTATTTATCTGTTGGCGTTATTTGTCTTTTATTATCGAATTTCTTTCGATGTATGAAAGTGTACAGTTATACAGGTTTGTCGACAGTCATCGACTGTTTTCTTTGTGCCTCTCAGCCGATCATCTGTCGATAGCAAACACACGCGTGTGTCAGGGGGCACCTGCCATGGCTATCTACCGCTTGTCAATCAAAATCTGTTGCCCTCGACAGGGGCGTGGCTATAGCGAACTTTGTTTCACTTTGTTTTTCAGTGTTTTACTAATATCTATTTTGTTTAAGGAAACCTAACGCTGTTATAATTCCTATCTTATTACACCAGTTGGATAACTTATGAACAATGTCTGAATCTAACTTATTCGGTTCCTTTTTCACTTCTCTATTTTTTATCGCCGTGTTTAGAAACTGACGCTATGACGTATACCAGTGGGCGTGGTTTGTGAACTGTGATTGGAATTTGAATCGGTGAATTAGCGTTTTCACCTGTGGGTACGGGTGTGGGTCGGTGAAGCGATCACAAAATGGTGCAACTACGTACAGTACGATCCTGACGATTCACAGTGGATTGAAACGGAAAGGGTTCGATAATTTGTCGCGTTTTTGCAACTTGTAAACGCGCATAAAAGGGTCCGCGTGTGTATTGTATCAGCAGTAAGCCGTGTATAACACGTGTGTATCTATGTAGGTTTGTATCGACGTATACAGTGTTTTATCCTTGGAATATTTATTAATTTCGTTGTGTTTACGTTTTGAGTGAGTTCATTGTGTGTGATGGCAACTTCGGGAGGGGATCTTTCCCCAAACGACAGCCCTTTATTCGCCCGGGAGGGCCACGATCCGCACTTCCCTCCTAACATGGTAAGTTTGAATGGACTGGGAGAAAAATAATACCGTGTAAACATAAGAGGATCATAGGATTATTGTAGTAAATGTCGACAATTACCTTATAAAACATATGTTTATGTTACCACATGATTATAACTGCGGGTTTTAACTGTTAACTCGATTATATTGAGAGTTATATTTCATGTAATGCGGAGACCGTTTTTAATATTTTCTCGTCAATGAAACATGATTTCGTAAACATTGCACCCTGTCGCTTTTCGGACACTCCCAAGCTTATGAATGAATCATTGAACATCTTTATAAATATCTGTTTTTTTACAGAGCCCTCCCTTAACACAACAGATAAATGCTGGCCACCCTTGTTCCAACTGTAAAGAACACTGCCCCGGATTTGAACTGCATTTTTGGAGGTAGGTCCACGATATCCATGTTTCCTTTCAGAAAAAGCTCATTCCTTCAGGATTTATTGTGAATTTAATGTACAAAGTTGAAACTATTTCATGTTAGATTTCAAATCTACCCAGCTGATGTGAAGAAAATGCAGGACAGTCTGGCTCTTCTTTTATTAGGTTACACAGCCATTTCACAGGGAAAACAAGCTTATTTCTCATATCCATATAAAACTATTTTTGAACTGAACTAAGGGCGTTTAGCATCTAAGAGAATAATTTCAGAATGCCCCCTAGTGTGGAAAGTTGAATTGTAGGTCAAAATACATGTACAATGGCCATCTAGGTATCAAATTATTTGGTACTTTTTATATTTCAAACATTCTAAGCCTTTCTTAACATACAGTATGTTAATAAAGCTAAATGTTGAGTTCAACAAAGTTTTACCGTAATTGATGCAAAAAGGGCGCAAGACAGGTAAATGACAAGTAGGGTGTTTTTATATAAATCCTTAGGCAACAGACCTAAATTTTGACCCTAATACAGACTCCCAAGTTGAATTCATCATTGATATGGCCATGTATCTTTCAGAAAGATTGCATTGATCATTTAATTATCAGATAGTGTTTCATGCATGAACTGATTCAGTGTCATTTCAATTGTAGGAGTTATCAATTAAAACCAACTGGACAAGTAATTGAAATTAAGTAAATCTCAAAATTTTATGACAAGAATTCAACTTAAATGTTTAAATTACTACTGGTCGGTCTCCTTATTATGTAAAATACGGTATAAGTTTTCTATGGTAAGTATCTTGGCAAAATAAGGATATGGACAGTAAGAACTTGATCCAGACATTTTTGTCCTTGACCCCATTTCCTGTCGCTTCGGGTTACATAAGATCCGTAAATATACACCTATATATCACATGACATACCTGGAAGAGTTGTTACACCCGAGATTGATTATTTTCTATACCAGGTAGCTGAGCATAGGTGTTCAACAGGGAATGTATATATTTGCTTAAGTCAGAAACTGTCCCAGGAGCACATATATATGTGTATTCTTAGTGTTTGCCTTTCACACCGCGGGAAGTCATATATTGGCTGAAATCAATCATCGAATTTAAACCTTACTTGTATGCAAATTATTTAGATTAAAAACAATCAGTATTACTGGTGTTTTCATCACCTGAAGAAGTAAATGCAAATGAGGGAAACGAAAATCCATCATAAATTGAAAAAAGTTGCGATTGATCCATGTTTTCGAAAAAAAAAGATCATCCAAAATGTTGAAAATGACATCTGTTTTTTATCAATCAATACAAGTTTTTTGTCATTCAATTTTGTTGTCATTCAATTTTGTTGTCATTTGATGCTTTTTCTTGTCCAGGTGTGTGGATTCATGTTCATACATCCTTAAAAACAACACCTTGTTGAACACCTGAATGTTAATTAAATTTTCAGGGTGTGCATGCTTGAACAGCTGATCCATGATGATGAATCAGGGATCACTGGTTTTATCAAATAATTACACATTTTCTTTTTTTTGTTGAGCACATCTCTATTGTAATTCTACAAAATTTCAGAATGCAGATACAATTTGAAGAAAATCTTCATTATTGATTTGTAATTCTGTTTCTGTAATATGAAGTGTGTGTATGCAGTTTTGACAGATGTTCCATTAAATTTGCAGGTCATTAGAATATAGAGAATGTTAACAAACTATTTATTAAATAGTTAGTGATCTTGAATTATTTAAGACCACCATAGAAGTGTGACACCTTGTTATACAGGTAGGTTGTCTGTATTCCATGTTAAAATCATTATACCTGAGACTGTGTTTAGATGTATACTTAATTGTATCGGAGCGCCTGTAATTAGCGCCCGATCTAATCACCTGAGATTGTAGGCCAGGCAATCAAAATTTAGATAACTGGAGAATCTAGATCTGTCAAAGCGGTAATTTTATTGATTCACACCTGAGTATATATATATATACCTGGTGTATCAGCTGATATCAGAATATACAGCCAATTATACCTGTATATTGGTAATTACCTATAGTAAATTACAGGTACAGTGTGTACGTATCCTAAGTAAGCACTGTATGGGGTCCTTCTTCAAGGTTCAAATTCTTACCTGCCATGCTAGCTCTCCTTGTGACAGGTAATATATTCCTAATATACTCATACCTGTGAAATCGGTCATGACCCCATAATGAAATTAATTCTATTACCTTAATTACTTTTGCTCCAGGCAGACCCTTTATTTGGCGTTTACAGGTAAATAATGCTTTCCTTTGTGAGATAATGTCAGTGACTCTATCACAGAGCTCACAAACTGTGCCAGCAGTAGCAAATTGAGACATTTCAATTCAGTTAAAACTGATTTCATTTCCTTTGAAAGGAAAGTGGCATATATGGCCCCAGTTTAAATGTTTTTTATTGACACTGTTAATTAAAAAGATCTGTCAGGATTTTGGAAGAAAAAGTTATGTAATATTTTTTTAAAGTTTCTAAACAATTCAAGTATTAACCTATTATCGGGCCCTAATTTTATTGATGAATTAATTTAATTAGTTTAGTTCACAGCACCTTGTTGACCAAACTTTCATAGTATTACCCACACTAAGATCTAGCAGGTGTTTTTGTCGCGACATTCAAAAGGAATTATAGGAGGCAAACATATTTCTTGGCCTAATTGATTCCTCCTGGGTATAATTTCACTACTATGAGTAAATTAATCTCATATTTTCTCACAGCTAGAACAGGAATATCAAACGACATGTGTGAATCTTTAACTAATATATCCAGAGGCTGATTATCAGGACCAACCTCCATGGGCTAAAGGGTCTGAAGTTTCCACCAAGATTATGCCACCTAATTCAGCACATTTAGAAGTCCTGAAAATTCACAACCACATGCATGAGATGCAAACAATTATAGATCCCTAACATCAACCGTTCATATAAAATTTGGAGTATTTTCTCACCATTTTGTGACATGTTGACGGTTCACAATGGTAATACGATTCTCACGTGTCAAAAGGTTTTATCTACAATTGGTTTACTTTTGTATTGTTTGCAGGACTTTTTCTGTTTATTTATTTTTCTAGCTGTTGTTGTCTTCGAGCAGGTGTGTTTATATATGTAACACAATGCTACCACTTCTCTAACAAGTAAACAAGAATAACTTTTCCTCTAACATACTTTACAATAGTTTGACACCAACCAAACAGGTTCACCAGAGCTAGGCCCTGGACTTTGTCCCCCTTCAGGGGGATTAGGAAGAACCTGTTTAGCCTAATCAGGGCCATTAAGATTTTAGATACCCTACCAGGAGAAAGTTTTATGTAACAGTTACATAATTTCCTCCCTAAAAGGACTTAAGGTGACAGTTGGTCCCGAGGGTGATGAAATGGAGAGTGGGGTGTGCCTTAATGACTAGCATCACAAATTAATTAAAATGATTTCTAGATTTGATACCTATACTTACTGAAAGTGTATGTTTAATAATTCTGTTGCATACACATATATAAAAGTTCTTACACCATCTCCTTAAATCATTGGAATATTTATATGCTTTTAAGAATAAATTATCAGTGAATCAATTATTCTGGTAGCATTCATTTTTCAAATTATTACATACAGTAATGACCGAAACTGTACATCTTCATTTACACTTTCCTCAAATGTTGGCTGCAATATTTAGATATAAATTTCAGCTAAGGTAATGACTTTTTAACATTTACAGTTAATGTAGGTATTCCACAGGGCTGCAACCTTTTGCAATGCTTTTTTGAGATATATATCATATTTTAGAACAGGGCAGGGGTTAACATTTTTGATGTTTTAAATAAGTAATTCAATTACTGTAACTGTATGTAATGGTATGTATCACTTGTTGGTGTAAATTTAGACTCGACAGTTGTCATGTCCTAATAAGGAGGGCCATTTAAAATTTAAAATTATTCACACTTTCTTCAATGCAAATATAGTTACAATAACAGCTTGTTGAAATGCAAACATTCCAAAGTATATTTTACATTGAAAGGAAGCTGTTAGCTAACTGTATAGTCCATTTGAAATTTTTAAATTGGATATAAAAAAAATGAGACGCTATACCCAACATATTACACTATGAATGCGAAGCCCTGATAGCTTTTGTTGTGTTGACTTTCGTGCTCCGTAAAAAGCAAAGCTTTCAAATGAAGTTGTTTACCTGGTGTCACCTTCACGATTTTTTTTTTACATTTGCCCTTGACGGATTTGAAGGAAGGTATACTGTGTCATTCTACAATATCGTGTCATACCGTATCAAGACAGCCGGTCTAAAAAATAATGACATCAGATTTTTTAAAAGTCTAGTTTAAAATATTAACAAGAGCTGATATCAGGCCATAAAAATGTAAGGATAGATTATATATTTGCAGATCAAATCTATTTTTGGGTGAGGAAATGGCATTTACTGTTAATTTTTTGTATTCATCTGGTCAGATTTCAAGTTGATGGGGTTTGTGGGTGGGGAGAAAAGAGTTTAAGCTATTACATCATAAACTTCACTTGTTATGCAAATAAGTTTAGTACTTAAGTTATATTAAAATGCAAATTTTGAAAATGCCACTTATCTTTATAAAAAATAAATGGCCGAATGTCAAAAAGCTTGACTTGAACATTAATATTATTCACAAATTCTTTTGAATGGTGATGTCCTACTTTAATTGAACACCCTGAACCATACCCCTAGCTAAGGGTCAGCTAATTAGAGTCCAGGGTCCCTAAATACAAGCTCTGAACATGTACATGGTGTATATACCTGCAGGTGCTGGTCAATTTATAGAATAGCTGAAGGGAGCATTCCTCTGCCCTAACCATCAATAATGGCCCTGGAACTTCCTGCACAACTTATAACATTACAGTTCCCGACTGTTTATATAAAAGGGTAGTTTTATTTTCTCCATGTATAAATATTTATACAGGTGACTTACACCACTGGGATTGGTGCTGATAGAATTACAGTA